CGTGTACCTTGGTTGCGGGCACATCCCCAGTTGGGGATGTGCAGGAGGCAGCTGATCGATGTTTCTCTCTTATCGATGTTTCTAACTCTCTATCCCTCTCCCTTCCTCTCTGTAAAAACATCAATAAAATATATATTTTTTTAAAAAAACATATGTGTCTCTATCCTTTATTATGTCATTTATCTACACCTCACCCCTCCTCTGAGAATATAAGCTCCTTAAAAAATTGCAAGCAAGAGGTGCATACGTTTATGGATTCTGAGGAAGCCAATAGAGAGGGCAGGTCTAGAGGACCCCCTCCGCTCTTTTCCCTCTCTCTGTCTTTGAACTTTCTTTTAAATTAAAGTAACCTCTACCCAGATAGAAGTTCCCCAGGGAAAAGGGGCAAATGAGGACCAGGTCCTGTGTCCTTCAGAATCTCTGGAATGGAAGAGACAAAACAGAGGGAAGAGAACACTCATGAAATGTGGTTCCAAGGGCTTTGCTCTCTCTTATTGCTCAACAGTGTCAATGACCCTGTAACTTTCTCTGGGGCTGAGAAGTCTCTTCAATCCCAAACTTTGGGATTTGCAGATTACAACTTTGTCAAGAATGGCTCCCTCTGCCTGGAACTTAATTCATGGTGATCTCAGCTTGAGTAGCTTCCAAATTGAGAAATATAAATGCTAGTCAAGTACATGCTTTGCCCATCTTCTTGATAATCTTAAGTTAAGCACAGAAAGAAGAGGGGGCCAGAAGGGAGGACAAAATAAGCATTGGTTCAAAATATGTGTATGCTTACACACATATACGTATATCACTCACAATACCAACAGCAACAGGAATTTTTGTCTTTTATCACATCCTGTATTATCTTATGCATGGAGACCCTTTGGAACTATAATCTTCCATTACAGTTTTGGGCTACACAATACAAATAAGGCCAGAGTTCTTAAGCAAAAAAAAAAAAAAGCGCTGTAAAAACGTTGGATTTGTCATTGCATGTCTCTTAGATGTAACATTAATCCTAAGTATATTTTAGAAACTTATATCCATCTAGAATAGATCTGAACACATCTTTAAAAGTATCCTACTTAGAATCAGAAGTGCCTCTTTACTCCTCTTTCTATGAAACAGTGACATCTACTGCTCAGTGGGGCTAATCCTGGGGGATGTTCTAACAGTAGAATAATCCCTGCTTCACTGTCTGGCCTTCAGAGCCAGAGGCAGGCCCCCAGTCACCGTCGCTTCCTCCTCTCCACCCCTCTGAGGCCCCTGCACAGCACTATCATGTCTGAACCTCTGCACAAACTGGATTCTCTCTCTCTGAATTAGTTCTGTTCTACAGCAATTCCGCTAGAAAGTCTTTCTTCCTCTGGAGCTCAAACTTGTTTCTTTCTAATTTGTAACTTTCTCTTAGCTCTATCCATGGACTAGTGCTCAACAAGTAAAATTCCTTTTCCACGTGACAGCCCTAGAGACAGAAAGATGTCATATCCCATCGGAGTCTTCTTTTCCAGCAAAGAGTTTCAATTTCTTCAGACTTTCTGGGTATTATTTCAAGCCCCTCTCCCTATCTTCCCTATTCGCTACCTGTGTTCTTTTCTATTAGAAAAATAAAAGCGTGCCTATCACAAAAGGTCTCTCATGAAGTCAATGGCTGGCCTCCCCCTTCGTTAAATGGCTGCGATGATGTAGTGCGTAAGCCAGTGAAATCAGAAGGAGGAAATCTGGGTTCAATTCTGGTTCCCCTACATGAGCCTTCAGTGCTATGCAAATCACCCAACCACTCTAAACCTTTCTCTTCTCAGTTGTAAAATGAAAGTGACAATAATAACAAGTAATTAAGACACCTAGTAGGTTTGCTCGAAGGATGAAATGAATGTTAGCTGGGCAGTGTGTGAGGAGCACAGCTATTCAGTGAGTACTCAATAAATGGGAGCCTTCTTGCTATTACCCAGCTGCTTCTGGACTAGATAAACAAACCTGAGAAATGTTGAGGAGGCATGGGAAGTGAAGCAATAGGGGAAATAGAAGAAATAGAGGAATGCACATGTTTTAAATTAACTACAAAATGTGAAGTTTCTTAAAGTCGAGGCCAGTTTTATGAATATCCTATGCTCCAAGCTCATATCCAGTGTCTGGCATATAAAAGGAGATTAGAAAGTATTTTCTGGATGAATGCACTTCATATAGATCAAAATATACTATACAGCGATGGGGGGAAACATCATAAAGTCAGTATTAGAGTGCTATTTCCTATATGAAATGTGATATAGTATAAAAAGCCCAAATATAACAGATGTTGAGCCATGCCTGGGTTGCATGGTACATTTAATCGCCTGAAAAAAGCTGTTCATTCAGCAATTTTAATTCATTTGGAAACTGTTGGAGCCATATAGTAAGCCCTTTTCTGCATAAATATCATCAACAAGAATTCATTTTTTGTGACGACCTATGTTTAAGCATAGGTGCTAAAAATACAAAGTATAAGTTGTTGTTTCTTCCATAAAGGAGCTTATAATCTAGTTAAGAAAATAATTAAGTCACATTAAATGATGAGTAAAAATACAAAGGATAAAAGAGCTGTATAGCTAATAGTAACCAACCATTCTAGTAGACGTTTCATATTATATCTTAGAAACAACGGAATCATTTTCCATTACATGTGATTCAAGCCCAATTTTGGAGGTTTATTATTTCCCCTCTAAGTCAGGTAAAGTACCTAAAAAGGAAAAAGAGAACAAAAATGTGAATATATTTGTATGCACCTTGATACAGTTCCTAGTACACTTGCTGACCACATGGCACTCAGAGAATTACAGTTCGACAAAGGTCTGAAGGAAAGCACTCTGGGTACTGGAGTGAGCTAGGGTCCTAAGCAAAGAAAGTGCGCTTTCTTGTTGAGTGTTTTCAGCGTAACTTAAGTTTGTTTAGTCTCATCATTTGCATAATGGAGAGAGAAATAACTGTGCTGTCTAAATAAAAGAATGATCGTGAGAATAATATGAAATAATAAAAATGTCTTTGAAAATCTCACTATGCAAACACAAGTTAATATTATCCCTTATTAATATTATCTGGTAAGAAGCAGTACATTTCCCTGCCTATCCAAAGTGATCACACCCCTCCCATGAGTCATCTTAGCAAAATAAACCATTGTCCATTCTTCAAATCAATACATATTGGGCAGAGCCTTACTCCAAAAATAAATGTCCAGGGTGGCAAATTGTTTGGTCAGCCTCAATAGCTGACATGGATTCTGATATAAATATTTGGCTGAAGTAGTCAATATTGACCCTGAACCTTGCTAAAATAAATAATTTGGTTAGATACGTGGCAGCTTAATTGTGTATTATTATACATGGTGGGTATTAAATAATTAGCACACTTATATAAAGAATCAGACTTTAAATCCCAATTTAGGATCAAGCAGAAAAGTTTGTTATTGACTGAAACATATCCCCAGATTCCATTACCTGTAATAAAAATGAACCTTTGTAAAAGAGGAGTGGCTGATTGTCTAGCACTGCCAGCCTGCAGGGAAAATAACCAATATGAAAATTCTGGCTTACTGCCCCCACCTACTGTCTGATAAGCTTAATCCCTTCTCTTCAACCTCCCAGTTTTTCCCCAGGTGGGTCCAGAAATGTCCGACATGAAGGCCAATCATGTCCTTCCATTCTGACATGTTCATAGTTGGTTGCCTGCAGACTGTCTGAGGGAAGTCCTTGGGCACTGGCATTACTACACTGCACACAGCATGAGTCTGCTGGGACTGCCTCCTTGCTATCCTCTGGGAACCAACTATGTACTGTGGAAGTGAGCATGTTTCACTCACTATTGAGGACCCCATAGCAGTACTGCTTGTGCCAAAGTCTTTCATGAAAGAGATTAGTTTCTGTCTCCAACCATGTGTAGGCTCACCCTATCCTAGTACACCCTAGAAGAGCAGCCATTCTCTTTCCATCATTCCTATACTATCTCACCTTTAGCCAATGAAGAACATTAAACTTCTTCATTTCTCTTCAGCCCAAAAGAAAAGGTCCTATACACACCGGCTCAGGCAACTAGATGTCCAGCAAAGTTACTATTTTAGCAAAGAACCAGACTTTAAATCCCAATTTAGGATCATTAAGAAACCTCTGCTAGAGGTTATGCTCTCAAAATAGGTAAAACCTTCTCAAGATTACTGTCAGTATACATCTGTAAACTGCGTTTTATTTTCCAGTTGTTTTTCATATAAAATCTGAATTATCTTGCTATTTAAAACAATAAACAGTGTACCTTAAACTAATACAAAATAATATTGAATGTAAACTATAATTTAATAAAATTAGCCTGGCCAGTGTGGCTCAGTGGTTGAGCATCAACCTGTGAACCAGGAGGTCAGGGTTCAATTCCCGTTCAGGGCACATGCCCAGGTTGCAGGCTCGATCCCCAGTAGAGGGCATGCAGGAGGCAGCCAATCTATGATTCTCTCTCCTCATTAATTTTTCTATCTCTCCCTCTCCCTTCCTCTCTGAAATCAATAAAAATATTTTTTTAAAAAAATTAAAAATTAAAAATTAAAAATTAAGCAAAAATAAAGTGTTACATTTCTTTTTGCACAGAGGACATACCTGTCAAAATTTCACATTTTCTACATTATTATGTCATCTTTGAACAAAGACAGCTTTATTTCTTTCTTCCCAATTTGTATACCTTCTGTTTCCTTTTCTTGTCTTATTGCATTAGCTAAAATTTCCAGAACAATGTTGAAAAGCAGTGATGATAAGAAACATCCTTTCCTTGTTTTTTATCTTAATGGGTAAAAAAGACTTCAAGACTTACTATAGAGCAATAGTTATCAAAACATTGTGGTATTGGTGAAAGAAACAACAAATAAATCAATGGAAAAGAATAGAAAGCCCAGAAACACAAAAATTAACCCAAAATGTAGCACAGGCCTAAATATAAAGTGCAAAACTAAAAAAACTCCTGGAAGATAACAACAGGAGAAAACCTAGGTAACCTTGGGTATAGCAAAACCTAGATAACCTTGGGTAGATACAACCCTAAAGACAAAATCCGAAAACACAGAGTAGCATTCATTCATTCATTCATTCATTCATTTATTCCTCCAACAAATATTCATTGACTTTCTATCAAATGCCTCGCTTCATGTTGCATTAAGGAGATGCAAAGATACTTACCTTTGCACAATGCCTATACTGTGCTTAAGAACATACAGTTGGGGAAAATAAAGACTCTGGTATACCTGATATTAGTGTATCACCTAAGTATTGAAAAAGGAGTTGTACAAAAAGACCTTTGGAGTAAATCATTTTGTGGGCTCAATTTATCCATAATAGAAAGGCAATAAATCAAATAATCTTTTTTTTCTTTTTGCTCTCAGAAGTCGATGGTTTTGTTATATACCTACAAATGACCTGTAAAACTGTAAGTTCATTTTAAATCATAAAAGTTATTTGTTCTCATTTGTTAATGATAAAAAATGGCTTTCTCTTTTTCAATGCCATAAAGATAATTCTTTGTAACGCATTCCACAATATCTTGTTATGAAGTCTGATGTTTATATTCTTATCATTTTAAATTTTAGCTAACTGTTTTATATATAATTATTTTTAATTTTATATAAAGCTGATGCTTG